AATAATCTAGCCATTCCTAGACTATATATCTACTGATTTTATTCCACATCCCTATACTTTCTCATCTCATGTCACCATGTTCCAAGTGGTGCCCACTTCTTCCAATGATAGAGAGCAATCCATCCCTTTTTATCATGACAAAAGCCCTTATCTTATCTCCCTAGTAAAAGAGCAATCAAACCAAACATTTAAAATGAATTAATTGAACTTTATACTTCCCCAGAGATGGCCTAACTGCTAAGAGCAAGTTCAGTGTTTGGAAAAGAGAAACAAAAACCCTCAAACCAACATCCATCACTTTTCTCGGTTAATCCTTTATCCTCATTGCTGGAACTGGAACTAGCAATGGCCAGGAAAACTGTCCAAGAATGGCAGCAAATATCTAGGACTAGGGTGACTGCGTAGAGGAATGTTTTGAAAGATGCTACCATGTAATAGGGTTGTGTGACCTTCTTTTTCTTAAGCTAGCATGCTCTTGCACAAGGCAAAAAAAAAAAAAAAGGTAAACTCACAGAGAGTGTTTCACTCTGCAGGTGTGTCTTTGAGCACATACCTATATAAGCAGATATTTTGCATGCTCAGGCCCTTGCCCTGCTGCACACCTCAGTCTGACTAAGGTTGGCTTTTACTCCCTGAACATATGTTGCAATCCAGTAATGAGTAATGGCTCTTATAGGCTTTCACTCCCTTCCTAACCAAACATAATATGCAAATTGATTAAGCCACTTGTCCCCACAAAACTGGAAAAGTTTTTCCAGAGGTTTCAGGACCACCAGTTCAGGTGGCCTTCTCCCATTCTCATCGCTTGTCAGGATCCCTGAGTTATGACAGTGAAGATGGGGAAGATTGGATTATAAGGCAGCACAGGCGGCAGGTACTGCAGGATGCTGAGAGAAGCATTCTAATAATATATTTACATGATGTTTCACAAATGCCTACGATATTCTACCACACACCAAAGCGCACTTTTTGTTTCAAGTAATGAACACATTGACAGAATGTGTATGACTCTACATCAGCTGAATGAGGAAGAGCATTATTAAAGGAAGAAAACCGGGGAACATTCCCAAAAGCTTTTGTGTTTGAGGAAAAACTCGGTCTCCTGGTCCCTAGACTCGAAGAAAATACAGCTTCTAACTTTTCCTCTGCCACTGAGTTTGAATTCCAACGAAGTATTTCACGTCTGTCGTGCATTTTTCATCCGAAATAGATGCAAATTGGGCCTGTTTGGTTCTAAACAAAGTCGGATCCAATAGGTAGGAGACCAATGCTGTGCCTCCAAGTGTTCGGTGGGGCCGGGGGGCCAAGACCTGTGTCTCAGCGACCCTAACAGACAGACCCCGCCTCTCCCTGCTGGCTCAGCCCAAGGACTTCCCTCGGACTACTGCTGCGTGGGACTGCAGATGCCACCGTCTCAAGTCAAGGGTTTGCAGCCCGCGTTAACGCAAATCGACCCCCTCCGTCTGCATCTCTGGCGCTCACATAGACCAATGTCTGGATGCTGGATGCAGGCATTGGACCAGTGCTCCGTGGAGTTTGGGATCCCTAAAAGCAGAACGTAGAATTCGAAGGCGATTACCCAGGACCGCCGCAGAGCCCGAGCTCCTCCTGCAGCCACCGAACAGGCCAGTGAGTTCCTTCTGCGCCTGCGCGCGGAGCTTGCGCTGTAGGCGGGGAATCGGCCCAGGGCAGGGTTCCGGCTAAGGTGGGCGGGGCCCGGTGGGCGGGGCAGCTGTGCAACTTCAACAGGTGCCAAAACTCGTTGCTGGTAGAGACCACTCTGTATCACTGGATTCAGCGGAGGGCGTGGCTGGCCACCGACCTTCACTCAAGGCACCTGTCTGCGTTTCACGTCCGCGGATCCTGTTGGTGGGGACAAAACGATTCGTGGCTCTTACGAGAGCAAGATTCTCAGGGCGGGACTGGGAAGCCTGGATGTCGCGGCCCCGGGAAGGACACTTATGTGACGTCATAATGCTACGTAAATAGGTTACACTGTAGAAATGTGCCCTTGCGCTCTAGTCAGAGGTTTGTGTGACGCCACTGTGCCTGCTGGAGGAGGCTGTGACGTCACAGCGCCAACAGCGCCCTGGAAGTTGGGAAAGAGACGCCTTTGAGCCTGATAACAAGATAATAAAAGGCTTAAGGTATTACAGGTCCCACGTCAGTGGAGCTGAGGTGACCTCAGTGTGATCCTCAGATCATACCAGGACATCTTTCCCTTCCCCCTGTAAGCAATGAAGGAGGTACCTGGGAAAACTTCCCTTAGGGCGCCTCGAACCCCTAGCTACATTCTGGAAGAAGGGACCAAAACTTGTTCTTTACCCAAGGCGCTCCTGGTCTCTTCACAGAGAGAACTCCAAGCTGACCGCAGGGATTATCACTCCTCCTAATGTCCCTTGGGGAGATGATTCTTCAAGGCTGTGTATCTCCTCCACCTCCTTCACATTAAAACCGCAGGCCAACTTTAAGATGGGCCCCAGCTGATTCCCAGCTGGCCAGCGCCACCGGCTTCTTTGCTCCTGAAAACCCACCCCATCTCCTCTGGGCGCCCAGACAGACATTTGGATGCAAGAAGATTATTGTAGTGGGGAGTGGAGTCTTTCTAGGAGCACAGCATGGAGAGTTGTCATAGGCAAGAAAACCCAACTTGCTCTATTGAATGTTTTTTTGTTTTGTTTTGTTTTGTTAATTTATATATGACAGTGGAATGCATTGAATGTGATGATCATTATTATCCAAAGTACAGGTATTGCATGTTTTTGGGACTCACATGGAATACCAGGGATAAACTGCCCCAGCCACAGCAGCTGGAAACTGTAGCCTCTGAGGTGTCTGATGCCCCCCCCCCCCCCAGCCACAGCCTGCCTTTAAACTGCATTTGCACAGCCAATGAATCACTGCAGGGGTCTACTCTGAGAAATGGTGGAGGATGATAGCAACCTTAGGTAGAGCAAGCAGAGGAGGACTTCTGAGTAGACTGGGGATCTCTAGCTAGCACCCTGCCCCACTCCCCAACCCCTCTAAAATTTCTGCCCTGGGAATCCATTTCTTCTGAGGATGCACATATGATACTGGAAATTTCTCCACAGTAAGGCCCAGGGTAAGACCAGGTTTCATAGTGCTAGAGGTGAATTGGGCCAGAAAGGAAAACATCCCAGGGCAAATTTCCCCATTTCAAACATTTATGATGTCCTGAGGCCTGGCTAGTTGCAGAGGCTCTTTGGCCCTGAGAAGAGGAGTGTTGAGGGTGGAGGGGGATGCAGGGTAAGATGCTATCCCAGAAAAGAGGCACAAGAGAGGGCTCCCTTTTCCCATGCTCTCAGAAGTGCCCACGGTGGTCCTTAGTGTCTCCGTGTGTATATACTTTAACAACTCACTTGTCTGGGAGCCACCATGGCCCTGCATAAGAGAAACTTTGTGGTCAATGCAGTTGTCCCTATCTCAAGCCATAACCAAGCACAGACCATCCCATGACCTGTGCTGGTTGACTCCGGGGCTGGACGCCCAAAACGTACAGGCTAACCCTCCCTCCATGCACAATAGGTCCCAAGTCTCAGGAAGGGAATGTTCATCCTTGGACAGTCCTTGTGGACCCGGGTAAAAGAGTGATTGAGCTCTTGTGCGAATAGTGGAGACCCCACAGGCCTGTTCTGGCCTGGCAACGCCCTTGCCCTCGGCCCTGGGACCAATCAGAAGGTTTTGAGGGCTACACCAGGTACCTATGTGAATAGAGGACTGGGGTTGCGGCAGTTATTTTAGGCTGCGGGCAGGACACATGGGGTGCCTGGAGTCATGGGCCGCCCCTCCAGGCGTGTCCAGCAGGGGGCGGGGCGGATCACAACAAAAAAGGCAGGGCTATTCCGTGCGGTTTTGCGGGGACCACATTGCTAATTTAGGTTCCCGGATTAGGGAGTTCTATCCCGCACAGGGCCTGGGAGAGTTCCCAAAGTGGGGAGGGGGCCGGCGGTGAAAGGCGGGAGCACTTTACCACCTGCAGCCCAGGCCCTTTTCTCAGTTCGCAGGGCCCTGTTGGAGGGAAGTGATGCAGGGAAGCGCAACTCAGTGGTCTCCGCGGCCGCGGCGGCGAGTGCTGAAGCCCATCAGGCAGCTCTTGCCTGGCGGAAGGCCGAGGGCGCCACCGCCTGCGTGCACCCGCGGTCAGGGCGCTGTACAAGCAGGCGCCCCGCCCCGCCTCTGAACAAGAGAGCTCCGAGTGACCTACCCTCTCTCTAATTGTGGGAAAACTAGACGTCCTGGGGGTGGTTCGACTTGAGGCGGGGAGACTCGGATTTCTCTTTCTAAACAACCCCAGCCTCCAAGGGCGCTCGCCTTCCCTCCCTATTGCTCAGACCGCTTTAAAACTGCAGAATATCTTCGCTGGTGTGGAGTCGCGATCCGAACAGGGTATAAACCCCATTGTGTAGCTGGGGGGGGGGGGGGCGGGGAGAGAACGATCCTAAATAAGGGAAGGAGGGAAGGATGTAGTTTTGTGACTTTGGGGAGACCGCCTGCTGGGACCCAGAGAAACTGGAGGCAGCACTCATCTGAAGCTCGGTGAAAGCAGGTCTTTCCACTCCAAAGCATAAGCCAGAGGCCAGTAGGAAAGTTACTATTTGGTGGTGGGGTGGGGTGAAGGGGGAAGTTGATATTCTGCCCCTTCAGCGAACACCAAACGACCCTGGCACTTGGAGATGCTGGGATTTCTCATGGCCATGTGCGGCCTCAGACTCGGTTCTTTTTAAACTCGCCGCTCTTGGGAAGTGAAGGGTGGAGACTGCGACCCTGACACCGAAGCGGAGAATAGTAAGAAAATATAAAGTTGGGCAGAGGTAGACCAACACCCTAAAAACGGGTTTTCTCCCCCATCCCCAGCCCCATCACCCCAAGACGTCGAGGCTAGGGAAGTAGGACAGGTTGAAGTCAAGCAGAGAAACCTGATCCTCTCATAGAAAGGAGTGGTTTCCTGCGGTTCAAGAGGGAAATTACCCGTCCTGCAGTGCCTGTAAAATAACCGTTTATTTAATAGTTAAAAAAAAAAAAAAAAACAACTCCAGTGATAAATGTCCGTTACCGATGGTCAGCATAAAGTGCCAGTCGCAATACAACGCCCGGCTCCTGGCCGGCTGCTCGCTCGCTGTGACGCGGCGGTGGAGCAGGGGAGCCGCGGCTGGGCTCCTCCCGACCCCGGGCGCGAGATCCCTGCCCCGCCATCCGAGTCCGGGAGCCCTCGGCCGGCTGCGCGGCAGCAGCTGGGAGCCGGCGCTCCGGGCCCCGCGGTCCCTGGGGCCGGGCGGCTGAAGCAGATACACCGATTACACTTTTGCAGGCTCCCAGGGTGGGGATGGGGACTGGAGAAGGAGTCAGAAGTTGCGGGCGCGCAGAACTTTTTTCCTCTCTCCTATCCGCAGTCAAGAGTTACAAGCTTATATGGTCAAAGAAAAAAAAAATAAAGAAAATGTATAAAATAACAATAGAAAAAGTAATACTTCTGGGAGAGGCGCCGCTGCGTCTCCACGGAGCTTTCGTTCTGTTTTTAATGCAGTTTCCCTTCCGCCACGTGAGTACCGCCTTTTGGCCCAAAGTTAAGCCGCGTCCTGGGGGAGCCGCCCGGGCGGTCAGGGTCATGGCCCCGGGCAGGACTCTGTAGTGCCGCGTGTGCCGAGGACCCAGGGGACATTGTTGGGGTGGGGGGAAGTCCCAAGCGCCCCTCCCGCTGCCCGCCAGAGTCGCCTTCAGCTTCGGGTTCCTCCGGAGGAGGGGGCAGCGTGGCCAGGGTCCTGGTGGCCCAGAGGCTGTTTAGCATTTGATCTTGGAGGTTTTGAGCTCCTTCACCTGTGAGTGTAGCGTCTTGTGGACAGCGAGAGTCCTGGACTGGCAGAATCCCTTTCCACATTCTTGACATTTGAAAGGCTTCTCTTTGGAGTGAATGTATCTGAGGACAGAAACGACAATTAATCCTTGCAAAAGGATGCAATGTTATTGTAAACAGTTGTCCCAAGATCCCCTCCTATATTTATAAGGCACTTGCATTATAGATGGGGAGGAGTGTGGGGTACCAAGTATGCAACTAGCATAATGCAGACTCTGGACAGAGCAAGGAGGTGACAGAGAACCTGGGCAACTTTGCTCCTTAAACAGGTCAAGGCAAACAGACCATCTGCCTTTCTGAGGAGGAAGGGCAGGCAGCAACCTTACAAGGCCTGATTCACCTAGAGGTCCATCAGGGAATTGGTTAACAGACCATTCCTAGAGCTGCATTCTCCAAGACTGCCCACTGGTACATGTGGTTGATAATTAAAATTAAATAAAACTAAAAACAGTTTCCCAGGCTTATTTATTGCACATTTCAAGTGTTCGGTTGTTTTGTTCATCATTGCAAGAACTTCACTATTGGACAACTCTGAGGATTGAGAAGGGGGGCAGCAGCAACACTGCCAGTCTGGAGCTCTAATCTAGTCTTAGGTCCTATTCATACCCACATTTCCTCCACAGGTGCTCCCAAACCTAATCCTGACCCTTCCTGCCTAGGTGAAATTCCCCATCCATAGGCTTGAAGCCAGCAGGGGGTCTGTAGGGAGGAGGAAGGTGAAACCCTAAGCAAGCTCTCTAGGGCCTCTCGAAGTGCCGCACCTGTGGTCTCGTAGGTGGTCTTGCCTCCGGAAGGCTTTGTGGCAGATGTCACAGGTGTAGGGCCGCTCATCCGTGTGCGTCCGCTCATGGATGAGTAGGTTATAGGACTTTGTGAAGTGGCGGCCACAAAACTTGCAGACGAATTCTTTCTTGGTCTTGGAAGGCAGGCGTCCCCTCGTGGGCTTCTTTTCTGGGGACAGCTTGGTCACATCCAGGAGGGCACCTAGCCCACCTGCGGGGGAGCCTGGGCCCTCCCCTCGGGCAAGCTTAGTGGGATCTTCTTGTGTGGCGGCCAGGGCCAGGTTGGCGAAATCAAAGCGAGGCTTGGTCTTGAGCGCTGGACCGCTGCCCCCAGCGGTGATCTCTGGCTTGGGCTGGATGACATGAGGGAACCAAGGGAAGGCCGGCAGCTGGAAGCGCGCGTCCACCAGGCTGGATACTGCACCCGGCACTTTGGAGAAAGAGGAGCGGGGCAAATGCATGGCTGGGTAACCTAGCGTCCACTGGTGCAGGTGCACAGCGTGCAAAGCACTGAAACCATACAGATTGGGCAGGTGGTCCGAGGGCACTGTGGGAAGGCCATTCACTGCCTGGAGGAAAGAGTAGTTGGTGAGCTGCAAGGATGGGTGGATGGGCACCGGGGCTGGCAAAGTTTTGCTGCCCATTGTGGTAGTTGCAGTGGTTCTCAATCTCGATCTGCAAAGAAAGGAAAAAAGAAGGGGGGGGGGAGAGGAAAAAAAAAGTTCAGGGTAGGTTGCCTTCCTCCTGAAAACCAGCCCAGCCACACTTTCTCTGACTCACAGTGTAGAAGCTGGGAGTTTTAAGGTCCCCCCCCCCATTGCCCTCACACAGAAGATGGGAAAGTAAGGTACAGGAGAGCCCTCTCCTTGAAAAACTTCCTGGTGTTAGGGCTCCCTCCAAATGGCCTTTGGCAGAGATACACACTTGATAAGAGAAACTAGTATGAAATTAAGTCTTTTGCAATACAACTAATTTAAAATAAGGACCAACTGCATACAGAACACCGTCTCTAAGGCACAAACCCAGAGCAACTGCACGTAAAAACCTACATCCAGGAAGCCAGGCCCTGCAAAGATAACAGAATTTGGAAGCAGACTTACACATTCAGGTGCAGATAAACATGACAATGCACACTAACAGATAAACACAGATCCACAGGTTCTAATGCAGATGTGACAAGAATGTGCAAAAATAAACTGGGACAGTCAGTTTTATAGGACAACACTGGTCACAAAACACAGAGCCCATAACACATGCAAACATATACAGGGAATCATATCATACCCACGAAGAGCCTCCACAAACAGCAAGTATACACATAAAGACAAATGCACACATCTCCTAGTTTCTGCATATGAAGGTCTGACTGATCTTTGATTTGGTTTCCAGAAGCCGAAGCTGTGTTACCTTCCTTTACTGAACCACAATTTGCTACCCTACCTTACAAGTACTAGTGATACTTTGGGCAGCTCTCTTTTGGCAACTCCTTGCAGACCGAGTCCCTATTATAGTGCTTGGGGTTGCCTTCATTTCAAAGAGGGTGCTGTGACCCACACATTCACTTATTCTATTAAACATCTGCAGTCACATACCAGGAGACTCAAATGTCTTTTTTTTTCCCTCAGAGGAAAAGGGAGCAGGGTCTTTGGAGCTAACAAATTTTATGTATATAAAGAACCCTCGGCAGGTGGGTATGTATATGGGCAAGAACACTGAAGTAAGGCTCCATTACTGTGGTCTGTACTCTGTACTCTCCAACTGGAAGGTTAGGATGCTTGAGCAACGCCAGAGAGAAACCACAAGTGACCAAGATCTGTCATCTCCTGATCTCCTTTGTCAGGGTCTCCAACTTGCATGGGAAGAAACCTTTAATCTTTGCCCCTCCCAAACACTCCTAATTAGGTTCTATCCCCTGGTGGGGGGAGGGGAGCCAAAAAGTAGCAGGGATCCTTGAGAAGCCCAGGTGTTCAACTCCTGGCTCCCAGCTTACTGGGAGCTACTCCAAAAAAAAAAAAAAATCAATATCAGAGCCAGGTCACTAGGACCCTTTCACTTCTCCTCTTCTTAGGACCTCTCCTCTAACCCAGAGTAAAGTCCTTACCTGGGAGGTGCAGGCCACCACCTTGCTCCCTATGGCATAGCACACTCAGCCTTCCTAGGCCTGGCCAGCCCTCAAATCCCAGTTCAAGGTCCCAGCCTTTTGCTTTAAAATTCTGGTCTTGTGCAGGGATGTGCAGTGTCTGTTCTTGGAAGGTGTGAGGACAATCTTCAGAAAATCTTTCCCTCTAGAAGCTGACAGGAGGGTCACTGATTGTGTGGTGGGCTCTAAGGAAAGAGGTAGTGTCTAAAAACCATGAGCCCCTAGAGAGTTGCCTACACGAATTAAATTATCCATAGGATGAAAACCAAGTCTGATCACTGCCATTAATTCAGCTGCAGGGTAGAGGAGGCACATATCTGCAGCAATAAGACCTCAGAAGCCACAGCAATGGCCATGGTAGAGCTTCTGCAAGGGTCTTCTCTACTGCTTCCTGTCGCTAGTAATGCCCTAAAAACCTAGTCCATCCCAAAGCTCTGAAACAAGAAGGAAGCAAAATAAGAACAGAGCTAAAGGAGAAGCTGGGACCGTTTGTATTGGAAGTGGGAAGAGAAGACTGCTAACTTCAAAGGTCTGCCTAGACTTAGGCAAGATGAGCGCTCTTTGATTTGCTGTCACCTCTTCTTCCCCTCCAGGCACTAGAAATCAGATCCTTGTCTCCAGTCATCGGGAGCCCGCCGGGAGACCGGGAGGCCTGGGCTTGCTCCTCTCCAAGAGGCCTTAGCCTTAGCGGCAGGACTTGGAGCTGCACGCCGGCCCAAGCCTGGAGCTCAGGTGGGAGTCCCCACCAACCTCGCCTTGCCTTTCCTCACCTCCCTTTAAGGAGCAAAAAAGACCCAGCGGTCTTGGGGCTCCGTGGGGGGCCAGAGAGGGGGGATGCTGCCACCATGGCTCTTGGGAGCCAACCTTTCCGGGCTATCTGCCCAATCTTATTTCCCCCAACACTCCATTTATTTTCCCCGGGCAGTTTCTTATTTTCTGCAGCAGCATTCCGAGGCCAGGGCTCCCCAGGCTCCCGCCAATGACTTTCCGGCGGACGAAATTCGTTCGAAACGTGGCTCCCTTACACTAGTACCCAGAATGGGCGGGATGCACGATCTGGTTTCAGGCGGTCAGCTACGAGAAAAACACAGTATCAACCTTGCTTCCCTAGCCAGAGAGGATGAGCGGGAAACCCGGCTTCTCCGGCTCTCGTTGTCCTAACCCCAAGACCCCAGTGCAAATGCTTTTGATCTTTTAACGCGAAACGAACGCCTCTCCACGAAGCCAGGCATTTACTCCACAAAGAGTCGGTGCCTCTGGCCTTGAGAAGCGGTAGCAAAGGTCTCGACTAGCACAGTAAAGGCAATTCGCGCTCGGGTCCCTGCTCAGTTCAGGCACTCGCGTACCTCGCGCGGTGGAGCGCCAATTCCAGGTCTGCCGCAAGCCCTAAGCAGGGCATTAATGAAGTGTGCAGAGTCTATTAAAGTGGTTTATTCGGGGCTAATTGAGCGTGAGCGAGTTAACTGCTTGCATTAATAAGGATGGAGCGAACTACACGAGCTTGCGCCTGGAGGAGCCCAGCAGCAGCCCAAGATAATCATCCTCCACACTGAATCCCCAACAGGAATGGTGACAGGCTTCCGGACGCCCAAGGAGAGGTTGACCAACACCTGATACTTCGGTTACATTCTCCCCAGGAACAAGATCCATCGAAACTATTGGTGAGGCGTCCATCCTGCTGCACTCAAATGCCCGTTGCGTCTTCGGGGGATCTATCTGCTCTCGGGTCTTAATGAAACTGCATTTACTTCCAGGAGCCTGGGAAGGTCCATCTATACACCAGTAACTTCCCATCTCGGCCAGCCCTTCTCTCCCCTAGGAGGCTGTGAACCTCCCGGGGGGCTAGCTTTGCATGTGGTTCTATTCCTAAGAGTCAAGGTATAGCAATAAGTCCGGGTGAAATTTGTGGAATTATTGCAACAAAGAAACTCTTGAAGCTGATTTGTTCTCCGGAGACCCACTCTGCTACTACCTGGGCTGCTGAAAAAGGACTGGATGTGGGTTTTCATTCTTATTAGAGACATTTCATGGGGCAAATTAGTTCAGCAGGCATTTTCTCAATTCCGTCCCTCTCTCCTCAGGCTTCCACTTCTCTCCAGAAAGCTGGATTAGGGGACAGTCAGGGGAGCATAAGAATTCTTTTCTACCAATCCCCAGCTTGAACCTCCACAGTGTTTATGCTACTGCGGCATGCGGTCTCGAACTGAGAAGAAAGCCTGTGCCCCGCATGCCTGGGAAAGTCCATGCCTAACTGCACCTGGGCAATCGAGGGTTACGCTCCAGGCCTTAACCCCAAGGAGAAATCTACCGTATAGAGAGTATTCCGAAGTCAGAGTTCCGGGGCGAAGCTGACTTCAGAAATGCAGCAGTGAGCACCAGGGTCTAGCCGGCCTGGAACCTGAGCAGAACTCAGTAAAAGTCAAACTAAAGCGCGACCAGGCTGGGACGTGCACCTGTCCCTGGAGTTGTGGACTGTGGCGATGGCTATCCACTCTCTCCTTCCCTTTCATCAACTAAGGCAGATCAGCCTGAGCTAGGATCGCGCCTGCCAAAGTTTGTGCCTGCTGAAGTTGCTCCGGTTTCTTAATGCGGGCCCACAGACTGACTTGCGAAGTCCGTGGGCACCTTGACCCGGATTCCGAGTAGCCCAGCGCGATTGGGGGCGATGACTGAGGCCCGCCCCCTTATTCTCCCGAGGTCAGAGGCCCGGGACCCTGCGTGCAAAGTCCCTGAGTCAGCACCCCCTACCCTGGGCTGCAGTCGCTCTCACTTTCACAAAGGTTCTACAGCTTTCGCTTGGCAAGAGGAGCTTCCTTCACGACAAGGAGAGACGCGGAGAGAGAGACAGGGACAGAGGCGGGGAGAGGGAGCAGGACCGCCGCGCTGTGACAAGGAACCCTGGAGTACTGCCTTCCCTCGGGTGGCTGAGCCCCAGAGCCCAGGGCTGTAGTTACCTCGTTCCGCGGTGGTCCTGCTGCTGAGCGCGTCTCTGGGGCTCGCTGCGCGGGACCCGGGAAGCCACAGGAGCTGAAGCCCACAGACACGCCTGATGTTTTGGAGTCCTGACCCCTCTCCAGCCGCGGGGACTCCGAGCGCCCCACACGCGGGAGCGCTCAGCAGCCCGGGAGTCCGGCCCGCCGGGGGATCGTGAGCCTCGCTCCTGGTTCCCTCGCTGGTTCTGAACCGAAGCTGCTGGGAGCGTGCTGGGGAGAGGCCGAGCTCCGACTCACTCATCCCTTAGCACCGAGCCGCCTACTTATTTTAATCCACCACCCTCCCTCCTCCCCAGCCCCCCCGCCCCTTGCCTCAGGATTCCTCCCCTCCCTCCCCTGCCCCCCAACCCTGCCTTGCGCCTGCGCACTGAGAGACAAAGTTTTGCTGACCGGGGCAGCCAACTTTGGCAGCTGCGCTCGCCGGGCCCGGCTTCTACCAAACCTGCGTCCCCTGCTCTCAGGTTCCACACGACCCTTTCTGCGTTTTTAGGACCGCAAGGGCACACCTGGCGCGCTACAGGAAACAGCTCCCAGCAGATGAGAACCGGCTGGGACCGCGAGTTTCTTCAAGCGCTCCTAGGGCACAGCTTGTGCCCTGGAAGGTGGCAGAGCCGGGTGGGGAGGAGCTCTGTGTACCGCGATGCCGGCCCCGCAGCTTAGGATCCAGAGCGCTTTGTAGGCTAACAGAGTTGCCCCTCCTGCCAGAATCGCTTTCCGAGGCGGAAGACCCCGCGCGTGGAGCAGCTCCCGCAGACCCAAGCGTGCTCAAGTCCAGGGCGATAACCCAGGCAGCATTAGCTACTTCCTGGTGCTGGTGGGCCAGGATTACTACTGCAGCAAGCTGAAACATCTGAATGCCTAAATCTGACCCCAGGCCCTGGGCTGAGGAGTTCAGTAGAAAGACCAGAGGTAGATCATTGGGGAAGGAGATCAGGAGCTATTTTCCTCTAAGCACAGTCGCACACTCTAATCACACATTTGTTTCAGGATGGATGAGACTTTGGAGAGCTGCAGAGGCATACAAGCCAAGCTCCGAAGTTGTCAACTCCAAGGCCTCTGTCAAAGAACTGGTTCAGATGGAATCTGAAATCTAAAAGGCTCTGGTGAAGAAAAATTCTGTCTTCACTGCCTAGGCCTTATGGAAGTACCAGTACTCTCTTGACTGCTTAGCTTCTAGAAGCTACCTTCAGCTGACCCCAGCCTTGATCCTCCTATCTGCCACCTGTCTGGAACACCTTGCCTGGGTCTCCTACAAGAGGAGGTGTTTGTATATAGTGACTTGGATGGGTCCAGATTCATAGCTCACAACCCCACACTCCCTTCCAGAGTTGTTGCAGACCCCTCTCCACATGAGATTGGGACCAGATCCTGGCCTCCATGGGTCTTTACCATATTGGTACAGCATCTCTTCAGAGTAACTTTCATCCTGTCCAGCTTTGGTTTGTAAAGCCAGCCTGATTTTCTTGAGATGGGTGGGAATTTGATCCTTGACCTAGAAAGATGGTCATGGACAAAGGCATAGTTGGAAGAGATTCTTCTGTGTATCCCTAAGCCTCCAGCCCTGATAATTTTGGTTTGTTCAGGAGGAGGATGTGAGAGGAGCAGATCTTTGCCCAAAAGATGGATTTTATCCCATTCTACAGGTTAGTGTAGGAGCAAAAGGCCCACATTAATTTGCCTGTGCATCTGGAATCTCAGAAACTGTCAATATGGGGTGATATCCTGGCCAGAGTGAGGCCCCTTGGAGTCAAAGGAAACTGAGATCACCCCCTTCCAAGAGAGTCCAGGGCAGCACGACTTAAGAGCAGGGGAAGACCTGGTAGGAAAATTCAATCAAAGCATTATTGGCCTTCACTGATTCCAAATTTGGGTAAAGGAGTTTGTATGGACAAGCCTCAGCCTCCCCAGGTAGTCAAAGCTTGGGGAACCTCCATATCAGCAGTGAACATATCCAAAAAGAGATAGACACAATAGGACCTCTGGCTGTCGGACACTTGGATACTTAGGAATAGTGACTGGAAGTTCCTGTGGCATGATGTATATACACCATCTCCTGCTCTGACTTTCTCCATGCTCACCTGGGTTTCCTCCACATTTCTACTTGTGTCTCTCTTCAAAAACTGGCCCTTCAACCAACATGCCTCAGGACGTCTAAAAAGCTCCAAGTAGTAGGATCCCTAAAGAGCTCTTGGTGAAAAAGTGTCCATTATTCTAAGGGAAGGAATATGGAACTGGACTTTTAAATAAAGCTTTTGCTAGGCTTTCTGGAAACTTGATCCTGACTCAAGTCAAACCCCTAAACTTAATGGATGTGGGGCAGGGTAGAGAAGTAAGGTTTAGTGCAAGGTCTTTAGGACCCAGGGTCCCAAACTTTGCTGCATGAATTGGATCATAATGCAGGACAGGACTGTGCCTGCTGGCGTTCCTGAGCCTCTGCAAGGGTTCCCTGTTTCAGACTTCCAAGTTGCTGCCTCCTAGGTAGCCCACAACTGCACAACTTCAGAAAGACAGGAAAACGAAATATGAGATTGGCTAGGAGCTGAAAGGTCCTCCATCCCACTGAGGTCCTAAGTAAAGGACCCCCAAACATTGGCCTCCATCAGAGTCCTGATTCCCTCTGAAGCAAGGCCAGCAGGAAGAAGCCCAGGAATCTAGGGACCCCTCTGCCCCTGGAAGGGAGAGCAACTGGTAGAATCCTTTCCCCCCTCCTATTTAAGAGAAATTGATCAGATCATGTAGGGCCTACATCTTAATGCTGTATCCGGATTGCGACCGGGATGATCCAGGAGGACTGGACCCCGGACACCCAAGAGCTACGAAAGCACTTTTTAGCAAAGTCAAATCGTTTAAGACTCCAGAGGACCTCAGGTTTCAAATTCGGTAAATGACCTCGGTAGTTTGGATCTACCCAAGGGTCCTGTCCTCCCAGGAGCCCAGTGCACTCCTGTCCACACGCCCGCCTCACTCCTGGGGGTCCAGCGCACTCAGCAACCGAGCGCAGTCTGCCACACGCGGCTGCTGGCAGCCTCTGCTCGCTTAGAGCCTTCGGAATCCAGCCGGCGACCAGACCCTGAGCAAAAGCCTCGGCTCCTGGCTCTCTCGCCCATTGCCTGCCCGGCAGAACCAAAGACATCGACTCAGCTGGACCTGGCATTCTTGAGAAGAGCCCCCCCCCCCCCCACACACACACCTTAGGAACCAGAACTCCAGGTCCGGGTCCCTCGCTGCACTCTACAACCCGCGTGTCCCGGTGGAGTCCAGCAGGAGTGCGATCCCCAATTCAACCCCTAGCCTCCTGGTCACTGACCCACTGATCTCAGCTAGTCTGCTGCTTTTCTCGGTCACACTGGGAAGCTAAGAACTTTTACTTTTCTTCACTCCCCAACTCCAGCCCTTCTCCAGCTCATTGGGAAAGAAAGAGCCCTAGTCTGTCTTTAGAGTGAAAATTGAGCAGCTTCCAGAAAATTAACTAGAAAGTGGCCTATATTGCTTTGGGTTGTTTGGGATTAAAAAAAATTAAATGAACCCTACCTCTCTGCACTCCCCAGACACACGAACATGACCTCATTCTTTTAAGTGGAATTTACTTAACACTTGCAGCTTTTTTTGCTTCCAAAGCAAGTTTTCCTGTAACTACTCCGTGGACATTTGGGTATCTACTGATTAACCACCACCACCACCCCCCTTTCCCATGTACAGAGCTTTCAAATAATCGGGAGATTTAGGTGTCCCTCTGTATTCATTTAGATGATGGATTGTAATGGCTCAATAGTTCCTCTGGAACCATTACGGTCAATCAGGTCAAAATCCAGCTTGGGGAGGGGAAAGTTTTTACGTTCTGGAGGTAGGTAACAAGGTGACTTCCACGAATATTTGTGGCTGTAACACCTCTGAGAATGCACACCCAGTGCAGGGTCCTGAGTCGGAGAGACGCCAGATGAACGCAAAAGCGGGTGTTTATTGTTGTGACATGGACATACAAGTTACAGTATCAAAACTGAAAGGGAAAGTGAACTGCAATTTTTTTTTTTCTGGGCAGTTCCCGTTTCGTAAGTTCTTTATGAGCACACACGTAGTTTGTCATTAATTGCCACCTGAATAAATGAAATAATGCACACACGCGCTTATCTACCTTTCCTTTATGAGAAGAATACGCAGAAAACATGATTATTTGTATGGAATTGCATTTACCATTACCATAAAATGTAAGGATAATGACTCGTGAGGCTCACACGTAAAATATGTGCAAAAGGCAAGGTAAATTTTTTTAAGTTATTATTATTTTGGTGAAAATTTGAGTTGTCAAAATTATTTTTTACATGTTACAGATGTGTTCTAGGGTCACTGAACTTTTTCTTTATCCAAGGTGGAAGAAGTAAGTGCATCAGAAACGACCCAGCGTCTAATAAACTGAGGATGATGAAAGAAAGTTATTTGAACGGAATTGTTCGTAGTTGGAGTGAAACTGCACATGGAATCACCTTCCCCGGCAGCGCTGCGTCCTGGATGGGCTCCGTCTGCGGCGGTCCGCGGTGAAGGAAAGCACGTTCGCGGTAATTAAACATTTCCAGACACTGGAGGGTTATTATCTGCGGAGCGATTTCCGGCAGGGGACTCTGAGCAAGTCTGGTTGCGAGGTTTTAACAAGAAATTCCCTGACCCAATCTTAAAGAAAACGTGCCCCCTGCTGGTGAGCAAGCGACATGTCCCGGTGCCCCTTCCTCGAAAAGTCACAAATCCAGTTATCCCCGTTTCATTTTACCTACGAGGGATTTTTTATTTCCTTGAACATTTATTTTCTCAGTTACGAAATTTACTTTCGTTTGTTTAAAACTAGGCGTGCTCTTACTCTACCAGAGATCCAAGCGAGAAATTCCCTCTCGCTAGGGAATTTCTGTTTCCCTGCTCCAAGCCTTTTATATCTGTGAGGACATTTTTTTTTTTCGCTCAATAATCGGAAATCCGTAGAAACTATTTACTACCATCAGCTTCTGATCCTAAGATGAGCCAAGATCTACTGGGAACCCTTCAGTAGGCATACCTCCCGGGCGCAGGGTGCAGGGTGGCATGGGGTTGGCTGGTGAAAGGGCCTCGCTGTCCCATGGATTCCCTCTCTCCCCAGCTCCAGGTACCCCTTTGTACCCAGCCTCCTGCGGATTCAGATGTCCAGCTCTCAGAAGAAGTGATGGAATGGAGAGTCTGTTGCTTTGAATCAGTTTCACTGAAATGCATG